AGAGAGAGAGAGAGAGAGTGTGTGAGGCACATATACCAGCTACATCCTAATGATGAGAGCCAGAGGCAGATATAAATGTGAAGTGTTTTTTTTTGGGTGTTAAAATACTTTCTCTTACTTTAAGTGATTCAGAGGTTGATTTTCCTGAAAAGCATACAGACTGTAGCTGTATCAACACATGACTCTGTTCGTTTTATCATCCCGATAAGCAATACACAATGAAAACAATCATTATTTTAGCAATTAAGTTTGGCTATGCTAGTGACACACTTCACCTTTGATTTGCTTTTTACGGGACAGTAATGAATGGATCAAGTCATACCTATATACTAAGGGCGTTTTCACACGTGAAAGTCCACACCGAGGTCCGAACCAAAGGTCATGTTTTGATACATTTTAAACATTCGGTAAGTTTTGGTTTGGTTTCACATTGCAATTATGTGAGCGCACTAAAGAACTTTACATGACATACTTGCGTCCTGTCGTCATCATCTATGTGGGCTGCATCTTGACATTGATTGGTTTGTAAACGGACGTGCGTCTGACGTCAGCGTGTTGTCAATTCAGCGGGTAACTTTGACAAGAAAAAAAAAAAACAACCTTTGACAAGAATGAATGAACAGACGCATATCGTTGCCACTATATTGTTATTATTACGGCATTACTACCTGCAGCACCAACTATACTCGAGGCAAGTTCAAATTCGCCAAATGAACGTCCTCGTTGTGCGAAAATTTTATCTTTGCCGGCAGGAAAGGAGGAGAAGACTGTAAGCAATCCTGCGAGAACCACCGGAACCCCCTGTAAATGGTCTGAAAGTCCGAACCATACAGAAAATACTTTCACACTAGAAACAAACCAAACCTTTGTTCAGTTTGATCCGGACCGAGACTACCTCTTTTCGTCTGACCAAATTTCGTCTGTTTGGTCTGGACCTTGGTCCGGGGGAGGTTTCACACCTGTAATTTTGATTCGGATCAAACTGTAAAGTCCGAAAATCGGGACCAAACAAGGTAGGTGTGAAAGGGCCCTAAATTTGTATTCATTAATACACAAATAATATCTGATATGATTGTCTAAAATTATACTATCAGACCGCATATTTGATATTTATATATTATTAATATTTCATAAAAATAGAGAAAAAATTCAAAAAATAAATATATGAAAATATAATATTTCTAAATGTCATTGTATTTCAGTATATATATGATGAATATTATGTAATCACATTTGCATTCCAATAAAAATATACAATCTTAATTATTAATATATTTATATTTTAACTAATTTATCAACTCACATTTTTCATATGATTTTTTTTCAATATATATGGAAAATACTAATATTCCAGAATTAATAATATTAATAATTCAGAATTTCTTACCATTTAGTCCTGAGCTGACATAAGCTCCATAAATTTGTGCAAAACCTGAAAATTCATGTTATTGCTGCATAATTGGAATGTTTTTTCTTTTCAAAATATTTTTTTCTTTGTACATTCTAAATTTTTTCTATATTGTACATCTGAACTTTAACCTAAAACCCATGTTATTTGTGCAGCTATTTTTGTGTCTTCATCAATTTTTTTCTGTAAATACTAAATTCTCCCAGTTATATTGAACCAAATGAAACCAAAAAGATTTTAATTGAATCATTGTAAGAGCAAATATTTGCTCCCGTACTGTTTACATTTACTGTGTCTTTTGTCAGAGCTGAAAGGAGCAAGTCTTGACTACACTTTCTCTGTTTAGTCCTGAAAAATCTGAGCTGCTCATAATATACAGCCCACATAAGCACCATTAAATATTTACACAGCCACGTACAGCTCCAATTACATGGGTATTTAAGCTAGTTGTAGTTTATGTCCGTAGTTAAGCACGGTGAAGCTATTGAATTTCAGTGGAAGTCAGTAAGAAATAGTCACATTTCCTGGCCTTGTTCTACCTGCTATTGGAGTCATTTAGCAGGGACATGATCGCAGTTCCCCAGAGATCCCTTCAGCACGGCTCTCCTTCCTTCTCAGAATATCCCATTTCATAAACTCCTACCTCTATTATTTATCGCCATTATGTGACTCAAATGAGTTCAGCTAGATAAGAAATGAATATGTCTGGATTGACTCATTTGTACATGACTGGACGTGAAGCAGCGCCATTTATCTGGGAAATGTGCGCAATTACGCTTTGATTAATAGATGCTCAACCTATTGAGTGCAATACGGTGTACATGCAATCCAATTACTTAGGACACAGTGAATTAAATGTTGTGGATATTAAGTCAGGGCTTAAGTTAATATCCGTATCACACACGTTTTATTACTGATCTTAAATCTTAAGTGCTGCTGGTTTAAATTAAAGATGCTGAAGATGTATTAAACACTTCTGCTTGAGATTATGTAATATCTGTGCAATATAAATACTGCATACTTTTTTTTAGAACAGCTTTGCAGGCTGGAGTAATCTGTGGAATTTTCTACAATGTACTTTTATTATCTGCAGTTACTGGCATAATAAAATTTCCTATTGGACCTTGTATTGTAATTTGGAACTGATCATAATGGGAATTTTCTTATGTTATTCCATCAGAACACAAGAAAGCTAGATATTTAATGACATTTTGACATATTTAAGTACACTACCGTTCAAAAGTTGAGGGTAAGGAGTTAAAAAAGAAGAAATTAATACTTTTATTCAGCAAGGACACATCAAATAGATCAAATTGATCAGAAGTGACAGTAAAGACTTTTACATTGTTACAAAAGATTTTTATTTCAATGTTGTTCTGCAAATCCTGAAAAAATGTATCACGTTTTCCACAAATATAAAGCAGCACAACTGTTTTCAGCATTTAATAGTAACTAGTGCAATGCCCGTGCAAAATCATTTTTTTGTGTGTTTTTAGTAATTGTTGGTTTGGTATGTTTGAGTTACTGAATAGCCTAGGCTACTATTACACAGGAGCCTAAACTCGTTCAATTTTTCAAAAAGAATCGCTACTTTTTTCAAAAAGAATTGCTACTTTTTTTCAAAAAGAATAATGTAATAAAATAATAATGTAACAAATGTATAATAATAATGTAACAAATGTATAATAATACTAATAAATGTATAATTACATTGTAATAAATGTATTATAACTAGGGCTGTCAGTTAAACGCGTTATTAACGGCGTTAACGCAAACCCATTTTAACGGCGTCAATTTTTTTATCGCGCGATTAACGGTCTTTTTGGCCTAGCAAACATGCTTTTGCAACAGGACGCGGCATGCGCGGGGCTGCGCTATCTAAAAATGTGTGATTAATTGCGATTAATCGCGAGTTAACTATGACATTAATGCGATTAATCGCGACTAAATATTTTAATCGTTTGACAGCAGTAATTATAACACTGTAATGTATAATTACATTGTAATAAATGTATAATTACATTGTAATAAGTGTATAATTACATTGTAATAAATGTATAATAACACTGTAATAAATGTGTAGCTAGGCCACATAAGGAAAGAATATTTTATATTGCTGTGAAGTATTTGTATAATTCTTACCAGACAGCTGTTCTTTTATAATTATTCTTCCTCGTTTGATTGCCCGGCCATGTGGTTGTGTTCCTGTTCTCTCACGCGAGAGTTTGTTCGCGGAGCTTCAGGGAATCCCCGTGACGTCAGTCTGATCAGCTGGAGTTATGACTTTCACTTCCGTTTAAAAGAGCCGGTAAGTCGGCGTTCGAGAGCAACGCTACTATTGTTCGTTTGGGACTAGCGATCGATCGCACCACACCTTTTGTTTTTGCTCGTCATTGACTGTGATTGTTGGACTCTCTTTGCGGAAATACACCAGTGGATTATTTCACCTTGGAGATCGCTTCACAGGACAGCGCTGTTCCTCTTCCTGTGCACGGACTTTGAAAGGCTTACCGGTGAGGCCGATTCAACGCACACACTTACACTGAACTGGAACATACACACACACTCAACGGACTTATTGCCTATTCTGTATATATTTATTTTTGGTGCTTCTATTGAATACACTTTAAGGTATTATTCCATCTTGTTTGTTGTGTTTATGTTGTGAACAAATAGAACATTTCTATTCAAAGAAAATCATATAGAGGGTATAAACCGTAGTTTTTTTTTGTGTATCCTGCCTTAATTAAGCTGAGTGTTACATATTGGTGGCCAGTACGGGGACCCTTTATTATTGTTCTTTGTGTGTTTTTTTTTTAAGATGGATGTAAGGAATACTGATACAGTGACAGAAGTTGTTAATACTGCTGATGACCTAGTTACTTTTGAAGATGGCCAGAATGATATGGAACTTACAAATGTTCAAGAGATTCCCAGGTCTTTTGTGACTAGACGTAATCCTACTGCTGAAATAACTTCAATGCTTAGTTCATTGTACATTTCTGATGCTGAACAATCTGATGATGATGATGATGATGAGAGTTGTACACAAAATGTTGAGAGGGTACAATCATTGCAATCAGAACTGACTCAATGTAAAGTTGATTTATTGGCCCTTGATAACAAAGTACATACTTTAGAACAAGATTTCAAACAGTCAATGGACAGTACATTGAATCGGGAAACCAGTTTCAGACAGGCTGTAGATACTAGCTTGGCAAGGTTGGAGGATTATTTTGCAGAGGCGCTGGAAAAATTAGAAAAGGCTGTGACAAATTGTTTTCTGAGGAGAGATGCGAAATGGGAAAGTCAAATGAGAAAAATGAGGCTCACTAGCACCCCCACACTCACCAGATTACAGGCCTATTCTCCAGATTCCTCCCGATTTTCCACTGTCCCTCAACCACTTACCCCAACTCTAGTATCTAGAGAGAAAATTACCACTCATAAACCCCTCAATGATACTTATGACGTTCAACATCCGATGTATGATAGACACTCTAATGTGCTTACCTCCTCAGTAGTGGCAGGTTCATCCTCATTCTGTGCCCGACCTCCTATCCGCATTGAATTCCCCTCTTTTGGTGACTCCTGTGATACGGCGGAGGTGCTCAACTTTATCGAACAATGTGAGAACTTCCTGGAGATCCGGCCCCTTCCCAGTACTGAACTCCTAGGAACCTTGAGCACGGTGCTGAAGGGACCTGCTCTGAGCTGGTGGAAAGCGGAGAAGGTCAAGGTAATGGATTGGAAATCCTTCAAAAAGGCATTTATGGCTGCTTTTCTTTCAGATGATTACCTCTCAGAAGTGGAGGAAAAGCTGAGGACAATGGTTCAGCAGCCACAACAGCGCCTGAGGGACTTTGCATATGACTACCGGGCCCTATGTCTGAAATGGAAGCCAGAGATATCTGAGGAGGACTTAGTAAATCGAATACTTAACAACATCAACCCCAGGGTTGCGGGATGTATGAGGGGAACCGTCAACTCGGTTGAGCAGCTGGTGAAGGTTGGATCTATGGTGGAAAAGGATCACATGGGAGCCAAAGACTACTGGCAAAAAGTCAGTACTCAGAGCAGCAAAGAAAAGACCAACAAAAAATCTGCTGAACGTACCTTTCCAAAAAACCTGGCTGGAGTAACACTAGCACAACCCCATCCCATGTCCTCTCTCCTGATGGTGCCTGTAAGGGTGAATGGCAAAGAAGTGAAGGCTGTATTAGACACAGGTAGCACTTACACTTTAATGCAAGAAAGCCTGTGGAAACAGTTGAAAGGTGAGATTCCCTCAGTTGTTACCTCCAGTCCACAGAGGTTCATAATGGCGGACGGCACGATTCACCAGTCCAGAGATCTGCAAAGGATTAAGATTCAATGGCATGACCAAGATTGCAGTTTGGATACTTATATCCTAAAAGACACTCACCTCGCATTTCCTCTTATTGCTGGTCTGGATTTCCTGAGGGACACTGGAGCGGTCCTAGAAGTGGGAAGAGGCCGATATGGGTTAAGATCTGAAAAAGGAAACAACTATTACCCTTTCTTGCCATCGCAGATTCCAACAGGTCCTGTGATCCCGGCTGGTCAAGATCTTCCTCATAGGGCTGCAAAGCTGAATTTATACTATGCCCTACCATCCACTGGTAGACTTCCAGAACTCTTGTCCATTTCCCCCGAGAGCACTACGTGGGACTCTGACAATCAGGAGGAGTTGTTGAAATTGAGCTCCGCCTGGCCACGCACCACCTCCAACAACCTGGGTAAAACCTCAATAGTACGACACAAAATCACATTATCTGATGACATACCCCTAAAATCCCGGGCATACAGAGTTTCTCCTCTTAAGAAGCAGATTATAGAGGAACAAGTAGATCAGATGTTGCGAGACAATATCATTGAACCTTCTTTCTCGCCGTGGTCTTCACCTGTGGTGCTTGTCCCCAAACCTGATGGCTCTCACAGGTTCTGCGTGGATTATAGGAGGCTGAACAGCAAGACAGTGGCTGACGCTTATCCAATGCCGTTAATTCACGACATCCTTGAATCCTTGGAAGGAGCCTCTTGGTTTAGTTCCTTGGACCTGAAGTCTGGATACTGGCAGGTGGAGATGGAGGACCAGAGTAAGGAAAAAACTGCTTTTATCTCCACCAAGGGGCTATTTCAATTCAAGTCAATGCCTTTTGGGCTCAGAAATGCCGCTGCTACCTTCCAGCGTCTGATGGAGAGAGTTTTGTCTGATTTGAGGGGGAAGATTTGTTTTGTTTATATTGACGACATCATCATCTATTCAAAGTCACTAGATCAACACGTTCAACATCTCAACATGGTTCTACATAGACTTACCCAAGCCAACCTGACGTTGAACATGAAGAAAAGCCACTTCTTCAAGCGACAGCTCAAATTCCTCGGCCATATAGTCTCTGAGAGGGGAGTGGAGATTGACCGAGAGAAGACCAGCGCTGTTGCAGAGTTCCCAATCCCGCACGATCTCAAAGCCTTGCAAAGATTTCTAGGATTGGCGGGGTGGTATCATAAATTTATAGCACACTTCGCGGACATTTCTGCACCATTGAACAACTTGAAAAAGAAAGGAGTCAAGTGGGAGTGGACCACAGAATGTCAAGCAAGTATGGATGCACTGAAGCTAGCTTTACAAAACTCACCGGTGTTAATACAACCCGACACCTCCAAAGACTTCCAAGTTCACACGGATGCTAGTGAGGTAGGACTGGGCGCCATCCTCACTCAACAGTCAGAGGAGGGAGAAAAGGTGGTGGCATATGCATCACGGACCTTAACTGGAGCAGAGAAGAATTACAGCACTTCAGAAAAGGAATGTCTAGCAGTGGTTTGGGCTGTTGAAAAGTGGAGACATTACTTGGAGGGAAGAGCCTTCAACGTCTTCACTGACCATGCGGCCCTAGCCTGGGCATTCAACTGCCCTAAAACCTCCTCACGCCTAACTCGCTGGACACTCCGCCTGCAACAGTTCAACTTCCAGGTCCATCACAGAAAAGGGTGCCTCAACATGGGACCTGACGCTTTATCCCGGGTCCAGGGTACGCCTGATGCTGATGTTGCCCCTTGTCTATCCATATCACACCATGCGTCTACATTACCGCACTCTCTGGAGGAGATTACTAAAGCTCAACAATTGGACAATACCATCACTGACCTGCAATCTAACATTCCCCCTCGATCAGTCAAGGATCAAGCCATCACCTTTGAAAACCTCCAAGGGGTGTGGTACCGCAAAGTTCCTATGAAGGATAAAGGAGAGAAGTATCAGTTGGTAGTACCACTATCATTAACCGCTGACTTCATGCACTACTACCATGATAATCCGCTTGGAGGTCATCTCGGACAGTTAAAGTCTCTGCTGAAAATCTTAGACGTGGCATGGTGGCCGTCCGTTAGGAAGGACGTGTGCCAATACGTCAAAAGCTGTGAGATCTGTCAGAAATACAAACCTAGCAATACAAAACCTTCGGGATTGATGCAGAGTACACAGATCACTGAACCTGGACACACGTTGGGGGTGGATCTAATGGGACCCTTCCCCGCCAGTAAACGACAGAACACATACCTCCTTGTCATTGTTGATTATTTCACGAAGTGGGTGGAAATGTTCCCTCTGAGAGACAGCAAGACCCAGAAAGTAGTGAAAATTCTACGAGAGGAGATCTTTACACGATGGGGGGTACCCAAATACCTGGTGTCCGATAGGGGTCCCCAATTTACGTCCAGTCTTCTGAGCGATCTGTGCAAAACATGGGGTTGTGTTCAGAAACTCACAACGAGTTATCACCCACAGTCAAACCTAACAGAAAGAATCAACCGGACAGTAAAAACTATGATTGCTGCATACGTGGGTCAACATCATCAGACCTGGGACCAGTGGCTACCAGAATTCCGCTATGCCAATAACACTGCCCAGCAAGAAACCACCGGAAAAACACCTACTGTGCTCATGCTGGGTAGACAAATTCTAGGACCACTGGAACGTCTTATCCACCGACCGCCTTCACCTGATCAAGCTGCATATTCCCTGGTAGAACGACAAAACATCATGATGGAAGAAGTGAGGAATAGAATGAGGATGAGCCAAGCCAAACAAGCTAGGTATTATAATTACCGTAGAAAAAATGCGCAGTTTCATACGGGTGACCTGGTTTGGATTAAAACCCATCCTCTCTCTAATTCAGCAAACAAATTCTCTGCCAAGCTAGCGCCCAAGTGGGAGGGTCCAGCTGAAATTAAAAGTAAAACAGGGCCAATAAATTACACTGTGTGCTGGGGCAACCCACCTAGAGTCGATATATTGAATGTGGTAAACCTGAAGCGCTATTATGGACGCTCTCCTCCGATGCCGCTGGCTGGGGGGGGGGGAATATGTAGCTAGGCCACATAAGGAAAGAATATTTTATATTGCTGTGAAGTATTTGTATAATTCTTACCAGACAGCTGTTCTTTTATAATTATTCTTCCTCGTTTGATTGCCCGGCCATGTGGTTGTGTTCCTGTTCTCTCACGCGAGAGTTTGTTCGCGGAGCTTCAGGGAATCCCCGTGACGTCAGTCTGATCAGCTGGAGTTATGACTTTCACTTCCGTTTAAAAGAGCCGGTAAGTCGGCGTTCGAGAGCAACGCTACTATTGTTCGTTTGGGACTAGCGATCGATCGCACCACACCTTTTGTTTTTGCTCGTCATTGACTGTGATTGTTGGACTCTCTTTGCGGAAATACACCAGTGGATTATTTCACCTTGGAGATCGCTTCACAGGACAGCGCTGTTCCTCTTCCTGTGCACGGACTTTGAAAGGCTTACCGGTGAGGCCGATTCAACGCACACACTTACACTGAACTGGAACATACACACACACTCAACGGACTTATTGCCTATTCTGTATATATTTATTTTTGGTGCTTCTATTGAATACACTTTAAGGTATTATTCCATCTTGTTTGTTGTGTTTATGTTGTGAACAAATAGAACATTTCTATTCAAAGAAAATCATATAGAGGGTATAAACCGTAGTTTTTTTTTGTGTATCCTGCCTTAATTAAGCTGAGTGTTACAAATGTATAATTACATTGTAATTAACGTAAAATTACATTGTAATAAATGTATAATAACACCGTAATGTATAATTACATTGTAATAAATGTATAATTACATTGTAATAAATGTATAATTCATAAACGTAAAAAATAAACGTATAAAACAGTCAATATGCAGAGCTACTAAGCTACTCTGTTGACATGGTCCTGCCTTGCATCATATTTTTAATGTGAAAGTTGTGTTATATACATTAGGCTAGTAGATCCCGGTAAAACGCAATTTAGCACCATTTTGATGGAAATGTATCAAAGCAAGCCTAGTTGTATTCATTTTTTCGGATTCTGCCGCCTGTAACCGGTAGGCGTGGTTTGGGAGTGGCCTCGTAAGGGCAGCAAAGCAAGTGCATTCTGAAATGCAAGTCTAGAATGCTTCAATTTAAAAAATAATTTCAAATTTCTACTATATAAATGACCAATATTAAATACACATTCATCTTCCCAGAGGTGAAGTATCCCTTTAAGCAGCAAATCAGCATATTAGAATGATTTCTGAAGGATCATGTGACTCTGAAGACTGAAATATTTCTGCTGAAAATTTTGCTTTGCTATCTAAGGAATAAATTACATTAAACAAAATATTCAAATAGAAAAGCGCTATTTTAATTTGTAATAATATTTCACAATATTACTCCTTTTTTTCTTCTTTTTTACCGTATTTTTATCAAATAAATGCAACCTTGCTGAGCATTAGAAATTTAAAAACCTTACCAACCCCAAACTTTTGAACAGTAATGTAGCTCCCAATAGGAAGATTAGTTTCCCAATAGGATAAACTGCCTAGATTAGTAGATTAAAGATATTATACAGTTAAATGTTTGTCTCTAGTTTTAAGAGGCCAATAATGTTCAAGTATCTTTGAAAAACAAGAATTGTTTCTGCTTCCATTGCTAAATTCTAAACATTCTGTAGTTGCCTTGACACGATTTTTTTAAGTTCAAAACACTACCTGTTAACACAAGTTTTTAAGTTGACTAACTAGAATGAATTAGTTGAGTTAACTTTGAAAGTTGAGTGTGATAGGTTGCCTTATTCCATCCTCTCTCAAGGAGTGTGGTTCCAGAGCCCAAGCCGTGCGTAGAGGTGATCCCGACTATCTCTAGTCGGAACCTCAGGTCGATGATCTTGGGCACTCAGGTGAAGAGAGGGGCTGTCAACTGATCACCACCTAGTGGTGAGTTGGATCCGATGGCGGGGGAGAAAGCTGGACAGACTCGGCAGACCCAAGCGTACTGTAAGGGTCTGCTGGGAACGTTTGGCCGAGTCTCCTGTCAGAGAGATTTTCAACTTCCACCTCCGGCGGAACCTCGACTGGATCCCGAGGGAGGCTGGAGATATTGAGTCCGAGTGGACCATGTTATCCACCTCCATTGTCGAAGCGGCCGCTCGGAGCTGTGGCCGTAAGGTCTCCGGTGCCTGTCGAGGCGGCAATCCCCGAACCCGTGGTGGACACCGGAAGTAAAGGATGCCGTCAAGCTGAAGAAGAAGTCCTATTGGGCCTGGTTGGCTTGGGGGACTCCTGAGGCAGCTGACAGGTACCGACAGGCCAAGCGGACTGCAGCCCGGGTGGTTGAGGAGGCAAAAACTTGGGCCTGGGAGGAGTTCGGTGAGGCCATGGAGAAGGACTATCGGCTGGCCTCGTAGAGATTCTGGCAAACCGTCCGGCGCCTCAGGAGAGGGAAGCAGTGCCCTACCAACGCTGTTTACAGTGGAGGTGGGCAGCTGTTGACCTCAACTGGGGATGTCGTTGGACGGTGGAAGGAATATTTCGAAGATCTCCTCAATCCCGCCGTCACCTCTTCCATTGAGGAAGCAGAGGCTGAGGGTTCAAAGGTGGACTCGTCCATCACCCAGGGTGAAGTCACCAAGGTAGTCAAGAAATTCCTCGGTGGCAAGGCACCGGGGGTGGATGAGGCACACTTCTCAGCCTCCCTGGGAAAGTCTATGCCAGGGTACTGGAGAGGAGAATACGGCCGATAGTAGAACCTCGGATTCAGGAGGAACAGTGCGGTTTTCGTCCAGGCCGTGGAACACTGGACCAGCTCTATACCTTCTACAGGGTGCTGGAGGGTTCATGGGAGTTTGCCCAACCAATCCACATGTCACTCGGGAGGACTAAACTCTAGCTTAGAGTAGAGCCGCTGCTCCTCCACATCGAGAGGGGTCAGCTGAGGTGGCTCGGGCATCTGTTCTGGATGCCTCCTGGATGCCTTCCCGGGAAGGTGTTCCGGGCGCATCCCACTGGGAGGAGACCCCGGGGAAGACCTAGGACATGCTGTAGGGACTATGTCTCCCGGCTGGCCTGGGAATGCCTCGGTGTCCCTCCGGAAGAGCTGGAGGAAGTGTCTAGGGAGAGGGAAGTCTAGGCATCTCTGCTTAGACTGCTGCCCCCGCGACCCGGCCCTGGATAAGCGGAAGAAGATGATGATGAGGTTGCCTTATTTTTTCAAGTTGGCTAAATTTTTTTTTAGTTGCCCTTGACAAGACATTTTAAGTTCAAAAGACTACCTGTTACTCATTAGATGAACAAAAGTATTTAAGTTGACTTTAATTGGAACAAATTAGTTGAGTTAACTTAAAAAATAAGGCAACCTATCGCATTCAACATTTTACGTTAACTCAACTTTTTTACAGTGAAGATAAATAGATACTATATATGCGTTTTATTTTTGCTTCCATTTGGAAAGCAAATAATATTATTGGTTGCATATTATGATTCAAATTATGTACATTTTCCTACAGGACTTTTTGACAAGCATTCATTTCTAGCTCCATTTCCTGCTTACAGATTCGTTTTATGTTACTTAGTGTCTCCAGGGTGTGTCAAATCAGCCATTAATTCTTTGAGCGATGAGAGGCCATTTCATGAGGTGTAAACTCAAACTAAATAAACTCTTTGTTTTGCTGACTGGAGTGGCTCCATATTCTTTTGAATCTTTTTAATTGGGTCACAAGTCTACGTAATTGCCGTCTTCGTCCTTTCAAGAAGCCTCGTGTGGCGACTAATAGATAAACTGCCGGTGTCCAATAGGGAGAGCCGCTGCACCTGAGGATGACAGCGGAGACGGTATCAGCGTCTTCCCCGTGCCAGCAGGATTTCCACATCAAAAGGGCGTCTCATTAACACTGCCTCACTCTGAAATGAGTTCTGTTATATCTGAAAAAAATGAGTCACTCCCCATCGCTGGAGAACAAGAGTGTCCCCGCTCTCATCGGGTCTGAACTCCGATGTGTGGTCAGGGACTTGTGTAAATGCTCAGAAATTGTCAGATCATGAAAATCATCTGGCACATCAGAGTCACACAAGTTGAATCTAGCCATACTGGAAAATCCAGCTAAAATCAGTTTAAAATGAATTTGGCAACAGTTTAGGTGGTCAACTAACTGGACTACCAGCTAGTAGACCATCTTGAACCAGCAACAAACCAGCTACCATTGCAAAACACTGGTTTTAGCTGGGTTTGCTAGTCATATCAGAATATGTTTGATTGGGAACAGATGGTCTTTTTCTTTAGATTTTTTTGTTGTTGTTGCTGTGGTGACAAAAAACAGCTGATTTAAGTTCCTGTGAGGTTTACACAGTACAGACTGTGTTTTTGCTTTTGAAGGAACAGAAGCAGCTGTCAGAAAACCCCACGCTGGCATTTACACGTAAACATGTCAGAATTGTCAACTTTTAAAGTCTCTCTCTCTCGGATTTCCCCCAAGATAGTCTTCTCTGTTTGTGCATCCCATCTATCAAACTGCAAAATAAAGCTCATCAAAATTTCTGTGGCTGATGCTCCAGTAGAACAATCTGGAAAATGTTCATTTTTCTACACCCACACACACACATTGGGTCTCCATGTTTAATGGGGACTTTCCATGGACATAATGCTTTTTATTCTGTACAAACTGTATATTCTATCCCCTAACCCTAAACCTGCCCATCACAGAAAACATTCTGCATTTTTACATTTTCAAAAAATACAAGGTTCTGGTATTGCCATCCTTTGTCCCCATAACGTAGGGTTTACTCCAGGAATATATATATTAAGAAATAAATATTATATAAGACTATAGTAAACAAGACTGGCTGATCAATGGCACCATTTCGTTGGAAAAGGTGTATGTGGATGTTTTAATATTCAAAGCTCTTGTTTATTGGCTGTACTTGGAGCTTCCTGTCAGGAAAAAGCAGCTCTTATAGTGTTTAATCACTTTAAAACAGTGGACTGAGTGAATCAAGGGCGTTTGCAGAGACAAAGTGACTGGAAAACATTCTCAGGATGGAAATGAAGACCGTGAATCTCATGTTATTCATCTCCTGGTTGTGTTGGACAGTGTAATCTAGTGGCAATGCCTACTTGCAACCACCAGCA